AAAGTGCCACATGAGTCGCTAACAGATACTGTGTAACTATGAGATAAACACCCCTTCAAAAACAATGGTGACAATAAAAAGATTGGATATAATTAGTCCCTCAGGGCAGATCTTCCATTTTCTTTACTGTTCATTGTAAGTTTTAGATTCTCTGCCCAATGCAAGAGTCATGAGATTGTAGTCTTAATGCTCAGAATATTTTGGCTATAAAATGAGGAACTTGGAAGGAAAACTATTGTTGGTTACAGAAAATTTAAAGATTTACTTAAGTGCAATTACAACTGTAAAGGTTAATAAATGTTTCTTAAACTTTTTTCATCAATATTCTTGTCTTGAACCAACAAATTCTCATGTTCTTCTAATCATGTGAATAATCTAATTTTAAATCAGTGATATGACAATACTCCCACATTTAATAACAGTTATTTTAAGAGAATTATATATCAGATATTTTTATAGAGATCTGAGGTACTTTTTTTCTACCATCCTTGTATGAATGTCTCTGCCTTTTAATTAAAATTTGGGAAATTTATCTTTGTTCTAACATAATAAACTTCCCCAGATAATCAAGATTCTCTATTACTATGAAAACATAATATAGCTCTAGAAATAATTAGTTCTCAGCCTTGAAGAATTCTCTGTTTGGGCTAAAAAGTTGTGAGGGCATTTTTTAAATGAATTATGCATGAATCATAAACCAAAAGCAGTGTTCTTTTTATTTTCAGCTTCAAGTAAATGAAAATATAAAAATGCAGGGTGGATTTTCCTGTTTTTCTTTCTTGATTAAAAATGGTATTCATTTTTTAGATGTGGGCACCACTATCATTTTATTTGGCTTGGTTTGTCTACCGACACTGACATAGGCACTAATCCAACTCTTCCTTTTCGTTTCTAAGCATGATTCCTAGAAAATGTGTGCACATGATTAAAGCAACCAAGCAGAATCATGCAATTCATTTAGTGAGGACTATCTGGAAGTCTTCTGAATTACCTGATGTCCCCAGACTTTGTTATTGTCAGGAAGATAATAGAAAGAAAATGTTGTGTTTACGTGCTTGCATGTGTAGTGTGTATCTGGGCTCATACACAGTGGCGAGGGCATAGCTTATTCCAGACTCCCAGGGCTCATTATCCATGCAGGAGCTGACATCTGGGGAATCCTCGCAGCCCAGTGTGCTACTGTTTCATTATCAGACAAAGGATTTTCAGGGTAAGTTAAAAATATATTTTTAGATGTATTTTGGAAAGATAAATAAATAGCAGTGTTAACTGAGATAAGCAGTTGAAAACATGTAGATACATTGGCCATTTAATTACCCATTTAATGTAGATAAGGATGAATCCAGTGTTAGAATCTGAGTGTCACAGAAGCCTGTCTTAACTAATACCTTCAGTCATGCTCCAGTAATCTTCTAACAACATTGACAAAGGACATTCTGAGCTTGCTTCTAAAACATAAGTTGAGAGTAGCCAAGTGCCAAAAAACAAAAGCAGCAAATAAGAGATAGAATAAGCTAAATCTGACCCTTTTGTACAATTAAGAGCGAACATCCATTTGCCCCAAAAAGATATTACTATAATCCCACCTTAGGAATTTATTTTTCCATGATTTGCTGCCTTATTCAACTACGGCCTGAAAATATTATATGGAAAATTCCAGAAATACACTCTTTGCAAGTGTTAACTTTTATTACAGTGTATTAGTAGTACTATTATTGCTGTTTTATTACCTATTGTGAATCTCTTCCTGTGGCTGATTTATAAATTAAATTTTATCATAGCTATTTATGTATAGGAAAAATCATAATCTACATGGGGTACTCTTTGAGGTTTTAGGAATCCACCTAAAAGGGGAGGGCGTCTTGAAATACATCCTCTCTCGATAAGGGGTTGACTACTTACCTGAGCTTGAAAATGCTAAAAATTTAAGACAGAACTTCTAGAAGACACTTGTTTTATAACTGTTCAGTTATGTCTTTGTCAAGTCTAATCAGTTACTCTGAAGGACTGTCTTTAGCTTGATCCTTACAGGCGGAAGGAATCTCGTAGTGATTAGAAAGTGCTCTGTGGCAGACACTGACCCACTGTGTACTATGAACCAGCATGTAAGTTCCGTAACCTTAGCTCCTTGTGCCTGACCTAAGAGTGGGAAGAGCAGTGCCAACCCTGAGATAGGGCTGGGATGAATTTGATGGGTTACTGTGCACAAAACATTTCACACGCTAAAAACCAGCACATGTTAAACTGCTATTGCTTAGGGGCAGTGGAGTAGGCATAGGAGGTAGAGACTGAGTAGAAAAAATAAGTGTGTATTGACTGTTGGCAGCAGACCAAGCATTCTGTTGGGTAATTTAACAGAACATTTTTAATTTTCCAGTACTCTCACTTTGAAAGATACTACTGCCTGAACTGCAAAGATAAAAAAATTAAGACTGTCTTTATCTATTTTTAAATGAAATTTAACATAGATAATTAGTAAGTATAACAATGCATGGTACGTGGAGATAGTGGAAGAAAAAAGGGAGGCCAGATGCTAGTCAACAGAATGTCCTCTTCCTATTCTTTAAATTTATGTTCTCCTTAATATAATGTCAAGGCCAATCTGGGCTGACAGGTCCTGTGTGCTTCCTTGCTGGTGACAATCCTTTCAGAACAAAACGCCTTAGAGAAACATTTACAGGGGACTGGCCAGGAGTTGAAGGAAAGGTTATAAGGACATGGGCAGCCCTTATGTTTTTAATGGAAGTATATTTTCTTATTTAAGCACAGAAAAGGAAAAAATACATACATTTTCTTCAAAATAATAAATCCCTTTCAAGGGAGAGAAATGGAATGGAGCAGCTAAGACAACAGTAAACCAGAGAGCTGCAGTAGTGTGGTTATGCAGAAAGAGGAAGGATAAATGCAATTAGTACCACGCTTTCTGTCTCCAGCCTTGGAAATATGATAGTAATTGTACCAAACGAATGTTTTCAGGCTGTGGTGCTTAATAATGAGTGAGCATCAAGGTTGTATAATTAATACACTGATCACTTCCTCTAAAATATGCAATATCCCTCACAATGAATAGTAGCTTTTAACTGTCTGACATTTTAAATTAGCTTCCAGAAACCTATCATTTTCTAAATGTATGTTGTATTGATATAGCTTATCTCAATGATCTTTTTTGCTACTGTGATAGCTCGGACCCCAGAGTAAATCCAAAGAAGCAAGAAATTAAGAAATTTGGAGCAAAGGCTTTATTTCTAGGCCTGGCGATGCAGCATCCAGTAGCCAATATGGAAGACTGTGCGCCTAACAGATTAAGGGCAGGGTTTTAAAGCTAAAAACTGCAAAGCTGTTGACCTAGTTCAGATAACATCTGGGATTCTTGGTACATTCCGTTGCTCTCCGCGATTAAACATTTTCCTGGAAACAGCACACTTTGCAGAAACATACTGAAGAGGGGTTGGGGGGGTTACAGGAAGCTGAAACCTAAGTCTTTACTGGAAATGGAATTTTAATCCTGTTGAAAACGGCGCATACAGAACCGGACAGAGGCACATTGGTTAGAGCTAGGCCATAACACTACTTTCCTTCTTCTACCACTCGGAAGCTTATTTTCTGATCTGTAGGTTCAGCCACATGTCACAGGACAAATGAATACTGTAATGATATGTTGCCCAAAGCTGTAATTCAAGCTGCGATGTCTGTCTTCCTTGGAATGATAAAAGAATGTACTTCCTCTAAGAAAAAAAAGAGTGGGGAGAGCAGGCAGATGAGGGAAGCCTTCTTCGTTTTCATTGTCATTTTCTTTCATTGTAATTTGTTTCCTCAAGTGTAAGATTGTGGTGTTTGTGGCATGTATACAGTAAGTAGGCAGCACCCTCACTGGGCGAGGCACCGTTGGTTGGGTTCCTAATAGAGAAAAAAGAAGACCGCTGCTTTGGCTCCTTGATGCCCCACAAGGCACAATCCAGCATATTATGCTGAATGCAGTAACAGAGATTTGTGAAGCTTATCATCCTGGCACTGAGAAAAGCAAGAATTCTACCTGGGATGGCGGAGAGATGACCTCTAAGTTAACAGACAAGGAGAGGCTTATCCCATAAAATGTGCAAAACGAATAAAAATGTTGTAAATCTCTCTCTCTCTCTCTCTCTCTCTCTCTCTCTCTCTCTCACACACACACACACACACACACACACACATACACCATCTCTGGGAGCAAATTCTGTACTTTCCATCTGGTTTTCAAGATGTTCATGACATACTAATTAATAGTAACTAGGTTCACACACACACAGCACCCTCCTGACATGAACTTTCTAAGGTGACTGGTTTCAGTGAAGACTAAATGTGTATCTTTGTAAAATCATGTAGTAGAATGCGTACTACAATGGAACTGCTGAAGCCAAATGTACCTTGTCCTTTTTTTCCGTTAGGATGAATTTTTTTTTCAGGTACAACTGGAATAAGAACAAAACAGAACCAATTAGAAAACACTAGAAGCACTTAAAAAGAAACTTAATTGTTGCTGAAAGAATGAGAATCTGATAGCTTAACAAGAATTTAATTAAATTGCAAAGTAAAACAGCTACAATTTAGCAATGGCCTTTCTCCTAAAAATTATGTCTCTTAGAACTTCTTCTTAATAATGAGTTTTAAATAAATTGCCTATCATTTTCTTATTTCTGTTATTGTGCCATTATATTACTGGTGATGTTATTATTTCTGCCTTATCACTTCTGTAGAATGTAGCCTCACACATAGAGGAGAAGAATAGGAACTCATTGAAACTTGATGGATCTAAAATCTGTTCTCCTTCATAGGAGAATGTGCCCCTCTGAGAAGGAAATGTTGGTTAAGGAAGACAGTCATCATGAATATCAAAACGGTTAAATTGCTCTTGTAGGGAAAAAAAAAGGAAGTTCCCCAACTAAGTAATTACCTATTAATAAAGGAGTGGAAGAAACAGTCTTGGTGAACATGAACAGAACGCTCTCATTGTTTCCCCACAGCCTCGTCATGTGTTCAACATGCTGAAGAAGTACGTTCGTGCTGAGCAGAAGGACAGGCAGCACACCCTGAAGCATTTTGAACATGTGCGCATGGTGGATCCCAAGAAGGCTGCCCAGATCCGATCCCAGGTGAGCCCTGAGTGTGAGAATTACCTTTGATAGTCAAGGGTTCTTGCTGCTTGGGTGCTGATAGAATCTTCAGGTGTTCCCAGAAACCTGTGAGTATGGCATCTCAAAGGCGTGAGCTCTTTAACGGCTAGTTAAATTCTCAAAGTTTATCTTAGAGCAATAGGTGGCTTGGTGTCTTCTGAGTTACGCAAATTATAAGGAATAGAAAAATTTGGTTCCATCTCAGCGGATACAAGGAACCATTGAAACTGACCCACAATGAAGGAAATAAACCTCTGTAACTGGCTCAGCTCGCCTGTGGCCGGCAATCTGAAACTCCATTGCCACCAAAGTATTTGGATTTAATGTGAGCCAGAAAAATGCTCTATACTAGTACTGTGATTTCCAGAAGTGGAAAACCAAGTTCAAATCTGGGAAATCTGAAATTTTAAAATATTTATACTTAGCACAAAACAGTCAGTTGAAATCTTGTGTCAAAAAGTTTGCAAAGGCATACATTTAGTGTATCAGAGGCTCAGAATTAGGAATCAAAGATGACATGGGTGGTCTTTTAAATGAATTTTAAATTAATTAAATTAATGAAAAACTTAAATTAATTGTTAAAGCATATGATACAGGTAATGCTAAGTTTAAAGTAAGTGTTAAAACTGAGCTGAAAGTTAGAGAACAACTAAAAAATTTTCACTTAAATATTTCAAAAGTGTTTATTTCCAGTTCTCATTGAGGAAGGTAGCTATCAGTGTCATAGAGAGGTCTTACCTGGAGTTGACTTCCTCCCGTGCAGGTTATGACACACCTCCGTGTGATCTATGAGCGCATGAACCAGTCTCTCTCCCTGCTCTACAACGTCCCTGCCGTGGCTGAGGAGATTCAGGATGAAGTTGGTAAGTAAGCATGTTTTTAATGTTGTGCCTGTAAATACGTTTTTGCCTGCAGAGGTTGGGGTGATTTGTGCATCAGGAATCACCAGTTTGCACATGCATAGCAGTTAGAAGAGCGTGTTTACCATGTAACTCCTACATGATGGAATACCTCTCATCTTTGCAGTTGCATCTGTGTTTAATTCTCCTTCAGTAAGATTGAAAGAATGATTCTTAGTATGGGGCTGGGGGTTTAGCTCAGCGGCATAAGCGCCTGCCTTGAAAGCAGGCAGTCGTGAGTTCGATCCCTGGTACCGGTAAAAAGGAAAAAGACCAAAAGAAAAAAGAAAAAAAGAAAGAAAGAAAGAATGATTCTTAGTATAACAGTAAGCCACTTATTATGGAATGATGCTGGTCAGCAATTATTTTCTTAGCTTATCTTGTTGGTATCTCCTTGCTGCTTAACATTTCAGGGAAAAATAACGCTTTCCTCTTCACTGTTACCTTATGAAGTAGCCCATTTTACAAATGGAAAGCCTCAGACTTAGAATTTGAGTAACTTATTTGCCTGTATCCCTCCCACTGTAAGTAGCACAGCCAAAACACATAACTGGGATTTGACCTTGAGGTTTTTATTATATTCAGCAAATCATATTTCTCTTTGGTAGGAAAGAAATACCATGAGTATTCTCTGAATTACATTTTAGTATAAACTCAAAGGTCACGGACTGTGGAACTTATTTTGAAGTAATCATGCTCTCACAGGAATTAAAAAAATAATACCGAGGATTACCATGTATCCATCACCCACTTGACTCTGTGATAACATCCTAAATAACAATAGTTCATACGTTCTCAAACCCAGGGAACTTGCAGCACGTGGCCACTCTTTTTATTTTCTAGTTCTCCTAATGATGTGTTTAATATTTCATATGACTAGATTCTCTCTTTTCTGTTTTTCTGGGAAAGGCAGTAAAGTATTAAATAGCATGTTTCTACAGAAGCCTCCAAATGCCTGTCCTCATAAAGATACAGAGATTGACAGTTGTGGAAGTATATCTTTCAACATAAAGCAAGTATCTGTACATAGAGATTTGGTGCATAGACAGTCAGCAAATAAGCAGGTAAACATGGAATATCCTCTAAAGAATTCTGCTCTTTGTTAATTGAGTTGGAAGTAGATAAAAGTTGCCTAAGCACACACCCATTACAGAAACTCCTGAAGACTTTACTCAAAAGAGCACTTGCCTTGCTCTTACATGTTTCATGCCAATACCGTTTCTCACTTTCTAACATAATACTGCCCAGCAATGTTGTAAATGTGCAGCATGTGTCAGGTGAATATGTTGTGTTACTAAACGGATGGAATCAACTACGCTTTACGTTCCACATTCCCAAAAATTGCTTCATGTGTCATTCATGCTCAGAAGGGGAATTCCATGTTGACCAAGGTGTTTCGAGGATACTCCATGCTTTTTTTCTTATGCACAAGGAGTATTAAATTTCTTTAGACAATGAATATATGTGTTAAATATATTGGAAGAGAGAAATCAGTGAGGGACTTTAAAAATATATGAATACAAGAAAGTCCTCCAAAAAGGTTCTATAAGAGACAAAACCAGATAATTCATTCTTAGTAGATGAATGTACTTTCACCTTACAGTTGTCTTAAGCCTATTTTCATATGTGACTTCAATTGAGGTAATGTTGCTAATAACCAACAATAGGGAAATGAGCCATTTCACAGGATGACAAATTTGATGACCCATTCCACTCCTACCCAATAATTATGGTTGATTCTTTCTAATTAAATTATTCTTTTTATTTAGTAATCCACTACTGAAAACATTTGCCACCAGTGAGTCACAGAACAGATGGTGATTCAGATTCTTAGTATGTTGCAGAATATCCAGTAATAGTGTTTCCCAGTAGACTTCAAATCTCAATGACAAGGAGGCTGTTTAGATCATTAGAATCATGGAATTCTTTCTTTAAGAAAAGAAAAGATGTTCTGCCATCAGGTTAGTTCAAGAAATGTTGTTTTTTAAATTGTACCATTCTAAGTGTATTGGACATCAACTCCTGAAAGATAGTCTTAAAAAATCCTTTATTTGGAATCCTAGGTAATTCCACCTTTAAATGTTTATTTCCCATAGAAAGAAAAGTTTACAATAACAAACTTCCATTAAGTTGACTTGGGCACCAAAGAGAAATAAGAGAGCTTGCTGGGGAGAATGGCTCTTTAGTTGTATACAATTCTGCATAATAAAAAATTTGATTTTTTGGCATACTTTCTAAATAAAATCTTCAGAGCTTTTTTTCTTTTCTAGTTTTTGTCTTGTAGTATTGGTAAAGTCTCTGGTTTCATGCGTGTCATTAGTGTCATTTGCATTTATTTGGCGTTGCTCTAAATAATCAAACTTTACATTTGGATTCAAGTCAGTACAAATGAGGAAGATACTAAAATTCAGACCCACTGGCAAAAGGACGAGATGTAAAGGGATCTCCAAATGCGTGCCTTTTGTGAAAAAGTGATTTGGATGCTTAATTCAGTTGAACATCTGAGAGCAGTAATAGTAGTATTAAATAATGGGGGCAGTTGCTTTCTGGTGAAGGATTTCAACCAGTGTGATGAACTGCAAGTATCCGTGTTTTTATTGTGCTATCAGGTATATTGGCTTTTGCAAATTATGTTCCCAAATTAGAACTCTATTATGGGCAAAAATGGCAAAAAAGGAAGTTACTCTAGAAACTAGGAGTGCTGTGAGTGTCATACAAATTGGTTTCATGTTTGTGAAATTTTATAAATGAATTGTGACTGGAGTGACCTCTGGCCTCAGCTTGTCTTTCCCTGTTGCCTTTCCTTGAGGTACCCCATCTTTTTATGTACATTACCATGAACTCCAGTAAATCCCAGATCTGTAGGTTTAGCAGTAGACTACGCCCAGAATATCTCAGCTGTCTTTGAAGCGCCAATCAATGTGTATATGACTGGGGTTCCAGAGATTTATTGTGTTCCCCTGGAAATGTATTGTGTTATTCTCTAATGAGTTTTCCTAGTTACCCTAAACTCATCTATAATGCCATCTTCTCCCTCACCTATGAGCTTCTTATCAAGTTCAAACCCTATCTGTTCTCCCACTGATGTGTGTTCCTGTACAAATCCAGCTCCACCCATCCGGTGCATTAGCTCAGATGCTATCTTTCTTACATTGCTGCCTGCACCTCAAATTCTTCCTCTTCAATATTCCCCAAGTTTACTACTGAAGTATTATTATAGCTGCACCTAGTACTGTGCCTGTTTTCTTTCTTGAAAAGTTGCTTCCTTCAGAATTCACCCAAAATGTCTATGCTCCTGTAAATCCACACTAATTTGCATAGGGCGTGAGCAACAATGGCTGGCATTCGAATGGCAGCCGTGCTGTGAGTACATGACTGTCTGACCATGATGGCACACTTTATCAATTTCACTCTTGAGGTTCAAGATCATGTCACATAGATGTGACAGGAAATTCAGAGAGAGTACTAGGCTCGATGTCCCACTAAGCAGAGCAACCTCTGGCTTTGGACTGGCTCTGCTTCAAGCCGAGTGTTCTTGTATTTCACAAAAATACATCATAAGAATGAGGTATTGACAGCCCTGAGGAATTCATTGATAGAATCCTTGATTTAGATTTGAAGAAACCAAACCTGAGAGAGCCCACTGTTGCCAGCACAGATAGTCAAGGGATAGAAGGCCCAGGTCTGCCTGAATCCCAAAGCAGTATTCTCTCTGCTAGTGCTTCTCTCTCACATGGCGTTTTCTTCTATGTAAGCTCCATGTCCAAAGCATTGAATAACCACCATTAATTCTACCCTACCCCATGTTAATATTTATTTGTTTGTTTTTATCTCTACTACTCTCTTCTCCTTTGAGCTCCTCCAACTCATCCTTGTCTTCATTGTCTTCAACTCAGGCTCCTCCTTTGTAGATAGTGTTAGTAGTTAGTTTCAGACACAAGATGGAAGCAAATCTCCAGGCTACAGAGTCAGTGCTCTTTAACTTAGATGGGTCAGGCTGCTCTACAGCCCTGAAAACTCACCCTCAGCTCCTTCCTTGGCCCCAAGTATATGCATTCCACGAAAGAAAATTATTTCCTCAGCCTAGCATTCTCTAACACTATTGGCAGTCGATCAAGCCAACAGAATGGATATGGCTGGCAGACACAGCAAAATGAAAAATGAAAGCAGACTTCTAAAGTCTGTTAACTTTTATAACATGGCCCTGGATTATATCATGGCATCTGTTACACAGTCATCTCCCCAGTTCACGTACTTCGGTGTGACTCAGTTGTCTTACTTAGCTGTCCTGTGAATCTTCAAAACAATGTGTTAGTTGGGTTTTAAAAGGCTTAACTTCTACTATTTTGTAGTAATTTTTAATACAGTTTGACATTTTATTTGTAAGTTCTCAGGCACAGTTGTGATATTTTTCTTTTAAAGAGTGATTATTTATACTCCAATTATGAAACCTTCTTGCTAAGAAAGGCTTAAAGCATTATTTCACATTCTTCACTTTAAATGTCTGTGTAGGTCTTTATTTGGTTCATTTAAGAAATAGTAGAATCGTTATTTTGGTGAAAATATTGCTCCCTTCAAGGTCTTTATTCTGCTGGAATCATCTTTAATGCTTTGAAAAGGCAGAGTCCCTTCGTAGTTCACCTCACCTTTTGTTTTGTCAAAATATTATTTTTACATCATTGGGGCATTTCCCCCCTTTTCAGTCTTCTTTAAATCTGCACTAGAAGTGCTCTCTTCTCATTCTGTTCATACTGAGGCTATTTAACCAGAGTGGCTCGCGTTCAGCTACCTCAAGGCTAAAAGGATTGTAGCTGTCAACTTGGAGATGGCTGCTTTACAGAAGGCTGCAGTGACTGATTTAGGGGAAAGGCAGTAGGCAGGAAAAGGGAATGAAGATGACATTGTTTCGTGCTTTGGTTTTATTTTTTTGTGTCTGCATTCAAAATTAATAAAAACATGAATTA